GTTACCAGCAGGGGGAGGACAGGATGCCGAGCAGGTCAAAACTACAGCCCCCACTCCACTACTTATTACTGTGACCTTAAAGAACGGTGTTTTCTGATCTGTACAAGGGTGTGGCTGTCCCCACTGCACAGGGATGTGCAAGGATCAGGTATATCACCTGGTACTTAGTGGGTGCCCAGTAAATGGTGAATCCCTCTGTTCCGTCTGGTCCTACACTCACGCCGGGGGCTGGGAACAAGGTCAAGAGCACAGGGCACCCATCTGCAGCTGCCATCTGCTGCAGCTACTGTGTGTGTGCAGGGCCTGCCAATCACAGCCACTTGACCTGATAGGAGAAATCATTATTTTCCAGAGAAGAATCATTATTCATTTTTAATCATGCAATTGAAACAAACAAGAATCAGGCTCAGATTAATTCAGTACGAAAGTGGAACACGTTTTGTGATTTGCAAGTCAAATACAGCTCCAGACCACACTCTCACTGCAGTTTAAAAATCACACCCTCCTGAGATTATGTGGGAAGGCACAGCACTAGGGGGCAGAAGACCTGGCTTCTGATACTAATTAGTGTGACCTCAGGTCAGATGCTGAACTACTGTGGGCCTCAGTTTTCACTTCTGTAAGATGGAACTGATGTTGTGAAGGTTATAGGCATGATTGAAATCATCAGGGTTCAACTGCAGAAACAAAGAGCCACTCTACCGACTTGGGAATAAAAGAAATTCCTGGAAGGTATTAGGCGCTTACAGAAACCACTGAAATTTCACAAGGAGCAGTCTCTGGGCTGGCTTTCCAAGAAAAACACAGCAGAAGTGGCCTACCACGGAAGCTGGGCGTCTGCCTCCCTCAGGAAAATGCAGACCCAGAAATGCTAGCTTCAGGAGCACGCAGCAGAAACCGTGACCCTGGAAACAAGAAGCCTTCACCTCTGCAAAGACCTGCTAAACCCTGCACAGAGTTGGCGACTGGGTCGCTGAAATGCAGTTAAGGAAAAACTGGATGTTTCCAGAAAACGCACGGCAGCAGGACGTGGGCCTTGGCCTCACCACCCTTCAAATCTCGGCTGGAGGAGCAGAATTGCACCCTTTGCACACCCCAGGTGCAAAGAAATTAGGGAAGTGGCTTCTTTTGCTTGCTAGTGTCTGCAGGACAGGAAGAGTAGGAGGTTCAACAGGATGATGGGAGCTGAGACCAATCTGACATCAGGCAAGGCACTGGATAGTCTGGAAACCTAGCGGCCAGTCTTGGGGAGCAGCTGGGTTCATTTGTGGCCCCACAGCATCTCCTCTCAAGCCGACCCTCCGAGTACTGAAGGGTGCTGACAGCATCTAGCTGACCTCCTGGGCCAACTCTAGAAATAACCAGCCGTCTGGGAAGCCCCCCTGGTTTCCAGCATCAGGCAGGAGGGAAGAAAGCTGGCAGGTGTGTCGATTATGAAGGACTGTCCCTGAGCGCCTAACCTGCTCCCTGTGCTCTGTCCTGTGGTGCTGGGCTGGGACTCTGCAAACCACTTGCCTTCTCCACTGGCTGGTGGGGTTGAAGGATGGAGGAAGCACACTCTCTCTCCTGTCTGTTTCCTGGTCCCGGGGCAGTCTGTTCCGGGTTGTAGTTTTCCCGAGGGTCCCAGAACCAGGATCATGGTGTCTCTCAGGGACACCAGCGCCTGCCGGCCAGTGCCCACTTCAGAGGCCGGGGGCCGAGCCCCTTGGTGGCCTCCTGACAGCTCCTAAGTCTGAACAATTCCAGCTCCTTCCCTTCTCCCCTCTGCCCTGGCGTGGCAGCTGCTCCCAGAAATTTGTTTCCTCTGCGATACCTTCATGTTCTCTTGTTGCCTCTTCGGTTCTTTAACACTGAGTTAACAGATCTCTATGTTAGTTCTCCCTGTGAAAAGAGGGGGTGTGGTTTCTGTCCCCTGACAGGACTCTGCGACACACGTGGGCTTTGGAGTCAGATGGACACAGTACCCAGCTCCCCCGTTCAGGACCTGCAGGACCCGTGGCAGGTGGCTTAATCTTTTTCAGCCCCATTTCTTCATCTCCGTCAGAGGGATAAAAACAGTCTCTCCCCACAGAGGTGAGGCGACAATTCACCACGTCCATAGTGCAAAGCACTTAACGCGGTGCCTCTCACCTGGTGAACTCCCCGCTAATGTCAGAGGGTAGCAGCATCCTTCAAGCCAGCCCGTCCCCATGGACAGTCCTAACCACGCGTTTTTAAAGACCTCTGGAAAGACACACGGACTCTCCCGCGAAGGCCCATCCTGCGGACGCTGTTGGATATACACGACAGCCATCTCTCCACCCTCCGCCTCCCCTGGCAGAGTTGCTTCCTCCCAGAAAAGCAGAAAACGGCAGAGGCTCCCTTCCAGGGTCTCTTGCAGTAAAGCGTGGGCCTGTGACCCCGCCCCCCCGGCCAATGGAAATTAAAGGGGAGGGGCTTCTGGGAGATGTTTTTCTCACTGAAGACAGAATAAGCTGCATCAAGAGCACATTTTCTTTCCCTTCTTTCCTAGTTTGGACCAGTTATTCTCGCCTGGGGGCAATTTTGTTCCCAAAGGGGCATCTGGCAATGTCTAGAGACATTGTCTGTCACAACTAAGGGGGTGGTGCTACTGGCATCCAGTGGGTAGAGGCCACGTCCTACAGCTGTCACAACAAAGACTAATCTGCCCCAAATGTCAACAGTGCCAAGGTTGAGAGAACTGCCCTGATGCAGTTGTGTGAATAGATGACATCTGGACTTGGCAACTGTTTTGCCCCCATGAGGAAAGGTTTAGAGAATCACTGAGTTGAGCAGGGTCCTGACACAAATGAGCTGCTGATGGAACACGGGAAGCAGGCTTCTTAAGTAACAAAACCAAACTCCTCTTATTTAATCAGATATTCTGTTATTTGCAGCCTCAAATAGCAAATCACAGTAACTGGCCAAGACAGAGAAAATGGAGATAAACAGTGGAGATGCTCACTTCCATGTAGCACTTTTTGTCATTATCACGTGTTTCAAACATATAGAAAAGTACAGAGAATAATAATCTAATCAACTCCATCTGTACACCATCCAGATTTAGCAAGTGCTAGAATTTTCTAAATGGGTTTCAAATGACGAGTACTGTGACAAACTATTTGTCTTCCAAAATTCATTTTCCTCTCTCCCTTTAGAAATAGAACCCTCATACTTCAGCTGGGACTATGACTGCTGGAGTAAGACTGCAAATCCCAGCCTCTCTTGCCGCTGAGTGTGGTCATAGAACTGAGTTTTGGCTAAAGTAGATTACTTTACAACTTTGGGTACAACTGTGGGTCGTGTCCTTAAAGGAAGTGCATGCCCTTCTCCCTTTATCACTAGCTGGCACACAGATAGAATGGAAATGGTTGGAAGGCTGATGCGGTAGCAGGAGCTAGGGCAGCCATGTTGGACCATAAGATAGAAACCATGCATGGAAAATGGAAGAACAAGACAGAAGGACTCCGGGTTTCAAATGATTGTGAAGCTGCCCTTCTGGACCCACATGTTTACACAGACTGTTGCATGAAAGAGAAAGATAAACTTCTACTATGTTACAGCCATTGCCGTTTTGGGACTCAATTTCAGTAGCTGAACCACTTTCTCAATTTGTATGTTTCTAGTGCTTTCATATGAAGATCTGATCTGTTCTTCATAACCAGACAGGGGTGGGAACTAAGATATTTCACTCAATTTTTCATTCACCCAGTAATGATCTTTGAGTGTCTACCGTGTGTCAGGTACTGCTTTGGAAGTTAAGCATGGAGGGTACCAGACTGTTCCTACATTGCTGTCCCACTTACATCAGTCTCCTTGACTTCACCTCTCTCCAGCCTGCTTCTCTCCACCCGCGGGGCTGCCTGTGTGGGACAGGCCACCGCCTGTCCTTGCTGCTCTCTTGCAGCAGCCTCTCGACCTGTCTTCCCGTTCCTTGATCCGGATCTTCTCAGGGCGCCCCATTAAAGGGCAAGAAGCCTAAACGTCTCGAGGCTGATAAGGGCCCCGCCCACCTCTCATGTCGATCTCTGCCCGCTCTGTTCCAGCCACGATGAACCAGGCAAAATTTCTCCCAAGATTTCATTCCGCTCAGGTGCTCACACTGGCTGCTCCTCTGCCCAGCACACTGGCTCTCCCCCTGCCTGGAGTGCTTTCAGGCTTCAGCTCCAGCTGTGGGTATTTAGGGAAGCCTTTCCTGATTTCCCAGTTTCCTCAGGACTCTCCCAGCTCCCCCTCCTCCCCTGCTTGTCTGTCCCCCGACCTCCATCAGTGAGCTCCTTGGTGGTGGCACAGGGCGGGGGGCTGATTGTGGGAATGAATGGGTGAGTCCCTGTTTTCTGAGTGATAAAGCTGAGGCTCAGAGAAGCTGCAGTGACTTGCTTAAGATGAGGCTGGAATTTGGCTCCAGGTCTGCTGAAATCCTGCGACACCAAGCTGCTTTGAAGCTAGTTCAAAGTCCAGAGTCCCCTTGAGATGGGCCTCGGAGCTGTTACTGGCGGGGATGGAAGGTTTGATGTTGAATTCCACAAAACAAGCTCTGCCCACCTCCTGCACTGAAGTGCCAGTGGGGAGCTTATGAAAAACCTAACTTCTAGACCTACTGCTGAGCTATGGAATTGAAAGCTGTGGGCTGAGAACCAAGTCCTGTCATTTTCTGCAAACTCTCCGCGTGGTACTAAAATTCACTAACATAGAGAACCTCTTGGGGTCCTGACCACAGGATCGGGAACTGCACAGCCAGCTCCTTCTTTCCCATTTTCCAAGTCTCTCTTAACACTTCCAACCAGAGGCAGCCCCTGGGATGAAGGGGTGCGAGGTGGTCACTGCAGTAAGAAGCCAGCTCCCTGCACATCCCTCACTTTACTTTTTTGAGAACGATTAAGTAAAACAAAACAAACAAACAAAAAGTGGTGCTAAAACCACACTGCCCACGAATGGCATTGCACCTTGAAAGTGTGATACTTTAAGCAGTTACGGTAAAAGTGAGTGAAAATGCTTACCTCCTAGTGACAGGGAGGGAATTGGAAAGGGTCCTGGGGTCCGTGCATCTTGGAACTTCAAGGAGGGCGGCCCCAAATCTGAGTCAGGGAGCAGCGTGGGTCGGACAGATGGGCTGAATCGTGACTCTGCTGCTTCCTCTCTGTGGGAACTTGATCCAGTCCCTTCCGTTCACCTGGAAAACAGGAGTGATAGCAGTTCTGTCTCGGCACAAGAAGATCACGTGATTATGGAAGAGCGCTCAGCACAGACGCAGGAAGAGTAACAGGGTGACGTTTCCATTCACTGTTCCTACGGTTATGTTCAACACGAGATGGGACACTGAGGGTTTCTCAAAGCTCGTGCAGCCCTCCCAAAATTAACCTGAAGGGGTAGCCTTCTCTGAAATCATATTCTATTTCACGGCCGGTAAATGCCCGTTAACCTTTTACTCAGCATGGTTACTGTGGGCAGGTGATGTGTGGCTATCAATGCCTATGATTTTTCAATTCCCTTGTCACTTTTGCCTGGAGACATCACCCTCCCCCACGTTTGGGGCACAAGCTGAACTTGCTGCCTTGGGTGGGAGAGTCCAGAGCAACAACCGTGGAAGTGAAAAGGAAACTGTCTCGGGCTGAGTGTCTCAACGTGCAGGTCTCAGCATCCCAGCAGAGATCACAGGTCAGGAGAAAGAAAGCAAACGCCAATGATTTATGACCTAACGCGTCACAAACCTAAACAATATATAAGCATAAATAAGAAAGAATGATGATTTAAGAGTCAGTACATTTCAATAGAGGGGGAAAAAAACCTTCTAAGACACGTGTGATGGAGTTGAATGTCTTTAAAATAACATGATTCCATAGGCTCAGTGGATAAGGGGAGGTTCAGAGAGAAGAACTAGTTTATCACTTAAAGGGACCCTCCCCTCCCCTCTCTCCGTCAAGACCTGCAATGGGATAGAGAGCAACACCACCTGATAAGTTTAGGGACACGAAGGGAAGTGACCAGGAGGAGCCTGCAGATTCCCCTCCCCCACCAACATGGTGGCAGGAGAGAATGTGCAAGCTCCCATCCCCTGTGGCTCCGGAGAACTCGGGGCATCTGGAAGTTTCCCAAGCCCTTGAGGAAAGCAAGGAAGTGGTAGAGAGGGAGTCACTGGACAGCATAGGGCTCTTGGTGGGAGAAGGTTGGCATTGGTCCATCAGCTGGAGACCAGTGAGAACTCAGATATCAGCGGCTGAGGCCAGCACAGAGGGATGCTGATGGTGGAAAAGCAGATATTCTCTCCTCATCGTGACCCAACACAAGCCCCTCCAAACACACGTGCCACCCTGGGGGTGGGGGTGCGGGAACCCTGAAACAGCTGAATCTAAACCTGAAATGATGAACAACAATAACAACAGCAAGAACAAAAGAACCCTGGAAATGACTCCTTGACTTGATTACAATTTCCATCATCGGGCAGAATGAGAGTTTGGTGTCAACTGTAGGGGGAAAAATGCAAATTTTTTTGCACATCTGAATTCATAGTTAGAAAAATTGGACTCTACAGGAGTACCCGAATTTGGGCAGGCAGGTGAGACTTGGTTCTGCCAGCAGCCAGCACTGTCCTGTGGCTGAGTCTCCATTTCCTCCCTAGCGAAGGGAGGGTGTTCACTGCTCTGCTCATGTTTCAGGATTTATTATGGGGATCAAATGTGATTGTATGTGTGAAAAGACTCTAAAAATATAGTTTCATGGATGAGCAGCATGGTGACAATGAGGATGGCACGGGGTGGTGACGTTTGCTGCAAAAGCCAGGAGGAAGTCGTGTCTGCCTTCAGCATGCTCAATATTTAAGGAATATGCAGAGCAGCTGGGACAGTTCAACAGCATCATAAACATAAAGAGCCCCGTAAGCTTGCTGTGAAAATATAGCCACAGCATAAAAGGTGAAGCTGATTCCCGTTTGATTGACAAGTCCCGTTGGAAGGACAAAGCTTGGAAATGGTGTCAGTGAACCTTCGAAATTATAGTTATGACATTTGGCTTTGACAGTTGTGTCAAGATCTGAAAGTCATAGAAAGTGAAAATGTGGCCTCATTCCCAGAGCTTGTGAGCTGTGACAGCTGGCAGGGAAAGAGAGACCTTGTCACCAACACAGGAAGGAGCAGCTCCCGAGGGGTGAACGCCCTCCAATGGCCAGAGCTGAGTGCTGTGCCTTCAGGATCACGGGACCTGAAGGCAGAAAACCAGCTGCATGTCTTTATTCGTTCAGCAACTAGTGTTTCTGTGTGAGGTGTACTCTGCCAGGCAGGGGGCATGGTTACTTGTTACAGCGGCCTGAACAGACTAAGGCAGCCCCTTAATGCTTCCGTTCGCCAGAGGTCGTTTCTGTTGCTTGCAGCCCAAGAATCCTGAATGCAATGTGCTGGCACCAGTTGTGAATAATGTGTATCACTCAGTAAGTAATTCCTGCCCTGAGATATCAATGCCCTCCTGTCACCCTAGACCTGCCCCTGGTACCCCCAGACTTTCCTGTGATCCTGTAGGTAGATGGCCAGTGCCTGGCATAACTGGGGCCTCTGGGCTCACTCCAACCCCACAGCTGACTGTTGTGGAATACTGAACATAAGCCCTGCAAAAATGACTCATCTGTAAATTCCTCCTCTCCCAACCTCAGCTTAGTCATCTATAAGATGGATCAATCAGACACACCACGCTGCCTGCTCCTCAGGACGGTGCACGTGAACAGGCCAAGGGACTAGGCATGGCACTTCCAGATGTGAGTTCTTTTCTGACCCAAGATCGCACATCACAGAGGTGGCAAAACAAATTTCCCCGGAGAAAACACCATCTCCCAAAACAAAGCAAGCTTTGCTGGAGGCTCTGAAAAGGGACTCAGAGGTGATAAAAACAGCTTCCCAAACGTCAGAAGCTGGAAAAAAAAAAAATGACCCACTGCATTTCTAAGCTTGAGTGTCGTGCTGCTCAGCCTCAGAAGTGTTTCCCCACGGTTCTTGCTGGGGGCGGGTGAGGGTGGGGGATGGGTGAGAAGGAGACTCGCAGGAGTGACCCTGAAAGGCCACTGCCTGCATGGGGAGGCTGCCCCGCTCTGCTGTGTGCCCAGGTCAGTGGACAGAGTCACTCACACTTCCTGTCCTGTAAGAGCCCCCGAGAGTCCTCAGATGGTGACCATGGGTCAGCTTTCTGTCACCCAACCGGCTCTTCCAGAAAGCTGCTATGGCACAAGGGTGGTGGTGGAGAGATGTGAGCTCTGGGAGGCAGAGCCTTGTTGCAGAAGCCCTGGGCTTGGACTGCCGAGTAACAGGGCTGGACTTCGGAGGCGGGATCTCAGAGTCTGGATTTGAAACTCCTGCACGACACTGCCTCGGTCGCGGTCCCCCACTGTTCCCCAGAACAGCTGTTGCTTCCTGTCCTGATGTTCCAGAGACAGGAGACCAAGCCCAGGAGTTCTAAGGGAAGGTAGCTTAGCTCAGCGTGGCCTGCAACCCGCCCTCCCCAATAAACACCACCTGGTTTCTTCTAACAAATGTCAGATAAAAAATTTTTAAACAAATCCATTTCCGCAGCAACCCAGAGCTCTAGCACCTCACTAACCATGAGGGCATCTCGGACCTGTCAACTGAGGGTCACTCCTGGACAAGAGGGAGTTGTCAGAGGTTTGGGGAAAGGGGGGTGGTTCATGGATGTTTCTCTGAGAATCTAAGAGACTCCAGCTTTCAAATGCCATTTCAACGCTCACAATGACCGCCATGGGCCACTTCAGGGTGACTTTGAAGAATCCCAGGAGTCTCCCCCAGCCCCTGCCCTCTCACTCAGGGACTCCCCCCGCCCTGGTCTGGCTGCTTTCACGTCATTAGGACTGGGGGGAAGTAGACAACGCAATCATATGCCCAGCAGGGTCTGTGTGGAAAAACTAGGGGGGAGGGGGAGAGGAGGGGGAAGGACCAGCCCACTGCTTGGCCCCAAGGGGTCTGATGGCGACATTTCAGGTAGCAGTGGGACACCAACTTGGAACTTGAAGGATTCTGGAACATTCCTCTACTCCTGCAGCCTGACTACACACTCCTTCTTTGGAGGATAATCGTAATCCTTAGATTTTTTTTAGGTTCAAATAATTTCATATTCTCCACAAATTACAGATCAGTAGACAAGAACCCCCTTCCAAGAGACGTTCCCAACTGCCAAGCAGGCATTTCATTCAACCTTATGCATGTTCCAGAAAGAATCTGGCAGGCAGTCGCCCCAAACTCCTCAAGGAGATCCTAGCATCGCAGTGATGCACTCAGTTCCTCCTCCCCGCTCCAGGGGAAGGTGATGGAAAGAAGCCGCCAGACCTCCATCCTGGCCAGGCCTCCATCTTCTCCCACCTGGAGGGTTGCCAGAGCCCCCCTGCTCCCCGCCCACTCTGCTCCCATCTTCTCACAGCCAGAACGACCCCATAGAACTTGAGTCACATCATGTCCCTCCTCTGCTCGGACCTCTCCCATGACTTCCCAGCACACTTGGAGTAGAACCCAACTCCTTGCTGGGGCCTACAAGGCCTTTCTCGGCCTGGCCCTGCTGCCTCTCCAGGGCTCCCACGGAACCCAGGACAGGTGGGGCCTGCGAAGCAGCGTGGGCAGGGGCTGCTACAGCTGTGCGCATTCTCCAAGCCATCAAACATGTGAACAATTCTGTGTGCAAACAGCCTCCAACAAACCACCCTGGCTTGCAGACTCCAGCAGAAATGCTTCCCTACCAATGAGCTAAATTCAACTTATAAATAATGTGTCAGTTTGGGTCTGCTTGTACTGGGCTGGGAGTAGGATTTTAGAAGCATGGTTAGGAGCTGATTCATGATTCAAGTACAACAACACTGTAACGGGAGGAATAAGAAATCAAGCAAAATGAAGTATGGTAGAATCTCCAAGGAAAATAAATAAATACATTGGCAATCGTTTCTGATGCCAGAAGCAAGAAAGTCACCCAAAGTCAAGCTTTCTACCAGCCTTACAAAATGAGCTCTGTCCTGCTGCCCAGCACCCTTCCTGGCCAGCGGTCACCTGAGGACATGCGGGTCCTGGTCTCAGTTCCAAGCTGGTAATGCATACGCCCCAGACGTGCAACAAAGCTGCACATCTAGCAACCAAAAAGAATCGGCACTAAACAAGGGCGTGCAGACTGGGCATGGATTAGATCAGATGTGGC